TCATGATTTTGCAGGCTGGCAAGTCCAAAATCTGCAGGATGGGCCAGCAGACTGGAGATCCAGAAAGAGCTAATGTTGCAGTGCAAGTTCAAAACCCAGTCTGCCTGCAGAATGGGCAAAAGACATGCACAGAAATCTCACAGAGGAAGACATCGACATGGCCAACAAGCACATGAGAAAATGCTCTGCATCACTTGCCATCAGGGAAATACAAATCAAAACCACAATGAGATACCACCTCACACCAGTTGAGAATGGGGAAAATTAACAAGGCAGGAAACCACAAATGTTGGAAAGGATGCGGAGAAAGGGGAACCCTCCTGCACTGTTGGTGGGAATGTGAACTGGTGCAGCCACTCTGGAAAACTGTGTGGAGGTTCCTCAAAGAGTTAAAAATAGACCTGCCCTACGACCCAGCAATTGCACTGCTGGGGATTTACCCCAAAGATACAGATGCAATGAAACGCCGGGACACCTGCACCCCGATGTTTCTAGCAGCCATGTCCACAATAGCCAAACTGCGGAAGGAGCCTCGGTGTCCATCGAAGGATGAATGGATAAAGAAGATGTGGTTTATGTATACAATGGAATATTCCTCAGCCATTAGAAACGACAAATACCCACCATTTGCTTCGACGTGGATGCAACTGAAGGGTATTATGCTGAGTGAAGTAAGTCAATTGGAGAAGGACAAACATTATATGTTCTCATTCATTTGGGGAATATAAATAATAGTGAAAGGGAATATAAGGGAAGGGAGAAGAAATGTGTGGGAAATATCAGAAAGGGAGACAGAACATAAAGACTCCTAACTCTGGGGAATGAACTAGGGGTGGTGGAAGGGGAGGAGGGCGGGGGCTGGGGGTGAATGGGTGACGGGCACTGAGGGGAGCACTTGACGGGATGAGCACTGGGTGTTATTCTGTATGTTGGCAAATTGAACATCAATAAAAAATAAATTTATTATAAAAAATAAATAAATAAAGATTTACCAAAAAAACAAAAAATGAAATATTTTTAAAATACTGATTTAATTATGAAGTATACTTGAAGAAAACATGGGAAATAGAGCAATATTTAAAGATGAAAATTAAAAAAAATAAAGATGAAAATTTAAAAACATCATAAACCTCTACCCATTGATAACCACTTAACATGTTGGTAAAGGGAAAGATCGATTGTAGTGTTTTACAATATCAGTAATATGGTATGTGCAGTTTTGTATCCCATTTTGAAATTCTTACTTATACACATATTCATGCTTGCTTATTTGTGCTTACAAGTAAAAGACTTGAAAATAAATGTTTCTGAATGTAGAATACTATCTATAGCAGTAATAGCTCTGGGGTTGGTAACAGAAGATGCATGAAAAATAACAGATTTCCAGGTCAAGAAAGAGACTTTAGAAATTATCGAATGATATTTAAAATATTTAACAAGTCATTATGATAAAGTCATTGATCAGAATGGACACTAGGCACAAATAATTGGTTTGTCTCCACACTTGTATGTCTGAGTATTACTCCTGAATAAGAGAAGACAAAAACCTTGAGAAGCCCAATAATCAAAGGTCACACGATATTTGGCAACAAAACTATGACTACCATCTAAGCTCAATTTCCTGACCAGAGTTTTTCCTGCTATATCCAGTTGCCTCCCTATATGAAAGCTTTTTGAAATGTGTAAGGTGCTATTTAAGTGCACATTCTAATTAATATTATTACTATGGTTAAACAAATACATAGAAATTAGTATCCAACCTCTAAGGTGCTATTAGGGAGAGCAGTGAAGTGTTTTTCATTAAGAAATCTGAAAATCCATATGGCTTTTATTATAGATACACCACTTAATATAAATTCTTGCTGAAGGCAATATTCTTTAACTTTTTGTGTATATTTAGTATTTCACAGTAATGTGATGTAAAATTTTAACTATAATTGTTCATATCATGAATAAAATACCTTTTTCTAAGTTCTCTGTAAATTCGTCTTGACTTAATATTTAAAGAAATAGCAAAGTGTTCTTTTCTTTCTAATTTTCTTTCTCCAGCTAACTCATTCTTACATGTTCCTGTGAATTATTCCACTTGTAAGTATAATAAATATAGCACAGGTTTATTTACTATGTTTCCTGGCTATGTAGTCTGATAGAAGCAAACCTGACACATTTTCAAGAAACAGTTCAAAGATCGTATTCATTGGAAGAAGTTTATTGAACACCTGCTTTGTACAATGCATTCAGCTAGGTGCTCAGTATAAAGGGGAAACAAAATAAAGTCATCCTTGTCCTGGTAGACCTTAAGGTCTAAAACATCAAAAACAAACAAATAAACAAACTAACAGCAACCACTCTGAAATACTACCATGGAGATCACCTACGGTACCAGAGCTTTGGAGAGCCTACATCACAAACATTCTCCATCAACATCGTTCTGGAAGGAAACATGTTCTGTTCATTTGATCTTATCTGCCAGCCAAATGCATAATAATTATCTCTCTGTGAAACTATTACAACAAATTGTAAAAGAAGTAGGAAGTGCTATCCGGGGGAGTTGAGTTGTTTATACATCCTGTTATCCCTGATGCATTTATCATATGAAAGTGGACATTTGAAACCCTAAGCATAATACTGTTGGGAGAGCTCTACAATAGCTGTCACAGGACTTCACTCTTGCCTGTGCCTTTCTGGGGCAGTTCTTGAGCATTCAGATAAATCACGGACACTTCAGTTTTTCACTTGCACAACTACAAATGAGATATTAATATCTACCAATATCTGAAGGATGATGAGCTGTAATAATAAAACTTGTACAGTTTGTCAACTTCCTACTAATCCACACTCGCATTTTTGTGTCATCCAACTCTGCAACTTCTCCCATCAGTCCTCTAATATACTTAGTCTGTGGCTTACCTTTTGAAATTGTGTTAAAAAAAAAAAAAAGAAATTGAGTCAATCTAACCATTGTTTAATGGTATTGAATACAGTAGTATATTTTCTATTAACCAGGGTAATCAGTCAGAAAGAGAGAGCTAATAGCCTCAGATAGCCCTTTGTTATGGTCCCATGACACTATTTCTCCTCTTCATACTATTTGACACATTGCATTATATTTACTTACTTACTTGTTTGTATCTCCCACTAGACTTAAATTCTGTGAAGGCAGCTAATATTTATTTTGTTCACCATTGTGCATCATTATTTCTCTAATGCCTAATGTATCTGGCACAGATTAAGAGCTTGGTATATATTTACTTAATGAATAGATGGATGGACAATATTGCAGTGGACTCTAGGACTCCAGGACTCTCTAGGACTGAGTCCTAGAGAATGGGGGAGCATACACATACCCCCAGCATATAGCATGTTGCCTAGAACTTAATAGATATCTGGTGAATGTTCTAAATTGAAATGAGGAAGTTGGTCAAGCTCCTTCAGATCAAAGATTTTCAGGTTAATGGAACCTTTAATAGTACATGTTATCAGTTTCCAGGTAGTTGAGCACTGTCCTATGAAATATAAAAAGACCAAATTGAAGTTAAGGCCTGCAATAATAGTTCTTTGAAACTATCTGTGAGGTAAAGCTATATCTGGTGTTAAAAGTTTAAATCTGCCAGTTTTATTCATTTTATGAATTCTGGATGAAGAAAAACTATTCCCAAAGGTTTATGGTTTTCCATCTAGCATCTTTTTGCGATTTTAAGTGAGGAAATTTCATTTCTCTCAAATATAAACATTCTGTATATTAAATGAATAAAAGGCTAATATAATTTTCAGTTGAAGGTCACATTGCAGGATTATTAAAGGAAAACACAACCTTTAATAGTTGTACTAGGAAGAATTTGGTATAGAATAGCTCAAGACAAACTTGCATCCATTTAAGAAGCTTGCCTTTTCTTATTATAAGGAACTAAATCAGTATAAATTATATTTAAATGAACTCTTCTACCTCTGAGGCCACTTTGCTCCTTGTGCTGCTTAAATTATTGCATATATGTATGTTCTTTATCCCCCTCTCCTTTATTTTACTGAGAAGGTAATGGATACCGTAAATTCAAAGCATATAGCACATGCTCACATTTCTCAGCTCATTCTGATTACCAAATACTATCTCACTATCATTTTTCCAACCACCCTCTTGTCAGTGTGCATTTGGCTTCTTTGTTTTTGCTACTTTAAATAGTTCTAAGGAAAACTTTTTTTTTCCCCTAAGGAAAACTTTAGTGAACAGGTGTCCTGATGGATACGTGCAATAATTTCCCTTAGGTAAACACCGAGGACTGGAACTGCTGGTTTAGCATATATGTGAATGTATCTTTAAGTTCACAAGATAACGACAACCTTTTTATTTCAAAAATAGTTGAATGTATATTTCTACTAGCAATATAAGAGATTTTTGTGCTGTTGCTGTTGTGACTTGCTGTTGTGACTTGCTGTTGTGACTTACCAATCTAGTGAATGCCAAACTGTATTTCATGGGTTGCCATTTCCTCCTGACTAATCTTCATCCTTAATATATTTTTTTAATTTTATGTATATGAGAGAAAAAGCACAAGCCAGGTGGGAGGAGGGCCAGAGGGAGAGGGAGAACCCAGGCTGAGCAGGGATTCCGGGGTGGGGCCCAATCCCAGGACCCGGGGGCACCTGGGTTGCTCAGTGGTTGAGTGTCTGCCTTTGACTCAGGGCGTGATCCTGGGGTCCAGGAATCAAGTTCTGAATAAGGCTCCCTCCAGGGAGCCTGCTTCTCCCTCTGCCTGTTTCTGCCTCTTTCTGTCTCTCACGAAAAATAAATAAATAAAATCTTAAAAAAAAAAAAAATCCCAGGACACCAAGACTATGACCTGAGCCAAAGTCTGTCCGGCTTAATACACAGAGCCACCCAGGTGCCCCCTTAATAATTTGATTGATGTTAAACTGGAGATTTAATAGGAACATTATCCATCTATCCATCTACTCAAATTCACTTATTCACATTCAACAAATAGAGAGGCACAAAAGTGTGCTAGATTTTGCTGTTTCTTTTTAAAGCATCTCAGTTTTTTCACTTGGATTAAAAGAAAGCGGAGCTTCTGGGACGGTCTCAGTGCCCTAGAAATTTAATGGATACTAGAATCACGAATACACTGGAGTCTTTATGGAATAGGGGAAAGTACTTGGACGTGAAAGCTCAGCAAAAGGGCCAAGAGGTCTCCAAGTCAGAAGCAGTGTCACAGAAGGGTCGCGGTCAAAGGGTGCGGTATCCAACGGGGTTGGGATCGAATCCTGCCTCCAGTTTACACGCCCATTATCAGTTTCTTTGTGAAGTAGCAATAATACTGCATAAGTTTGCTAGACAATCAAACGCAACAATGGAACACAAAGTGTCCCGGAGTGCCGGACCCCCAGTCCACGGCAGGTCAGCCTCCGCTGGAGGAATGCTAGAATTTTTTCCCACGGAGCTCGGTTCCCGCCTCGCCCCGCTGGCGGCCCCTGCCGGCAGGCGCCTGGGCAGAGCGCGGGGCAGGACCCGCGACTGCGCAGCTATCTCGCCCACACCATTTTCGAGTTTCTCCCTCCTACGGCCCCACGGGCAGCTCAGCTGCGACCGGTTCACACGACACGGTCTCCTGAGCAGCAGCAGGATGCTGCCCCGCGCGCCCGGCCGCACCGCGAGCGCGCTCCTGGACCTCCGCGGTCAGGGGTTCGAGCACCGCCGCCGGGGACTCGTGGCGGGACGCTCCCCAGCTCGGGGCAGCTCACCCCCACTCCTGCAGAGGCCGCGCGCTAGGCCCCGCCTTCGACTTCGCCCGCCTTTGCCTCCTTCATTTAGCGTCTGAACTTGGGTCACCTCCTACTCAAACGTCAGCAAAGACAAAATATTCGCATCCGGCAGCGCCCCGGAGCGCAGCACTGGCCCAGGACCGGGCACTTTCCGCGCCAGCCCGCTCCCGCCTTCTAAGGGCCCCGGCAACGCGAGGAGCCGCCCCCTCTGACGCGCGACCTTCCCATCCAATCGGAGGCAGCATCAGCTAGTCCTAATTTGCATAGGAGCCCTTATATAGGCTCAGGAACCGAGCCCGCGGCTCCTTAGAAGCCCTGCGTTACCCGCCAGCGCTCGCGGTCTGGGAGTTCCCTCTTACCCCAAATGCAACCCAGGGCCAAGACAGGAGCCCAGTCTGTGTGTGCACATTGGAGCGTGGTCTCTACGTGGCACCGCACTTTCCAGACTACGTCCCTGCGAGCGGCGCTGGGTCCCCACTCCGGGTCCCCATTCCGGGTCCTGCCGCTCACACCTCCCCCTCCGGAGCCCCGAGCCCGCCGCCTGCAGCCCGCGGCCGCCCGCAGCCCGGGGCGGGAGCTTCCACGGCCCGAGGCAGGGCGTGCTCGAGCGCCCCTCCCCCCGCCCAGCAACTGCCGGTGCCAGCCCTTTCCCTGACGTTCTGGGGGCCCTGAAAAGGGCCTTTGGAGTCCGGAGAGGAGCGGCAGGCGCGGCTCAGCCGCCGAAGCCGTAGAGGGTGCGGCCCTGGCGTTTCAGCGCGTACACCACGTCCATGGCGGTGACCGTCTTGCGCTTGGCGTGCTCCGTGTAGGTCACCGCGTCGCGGATCACGTTCTCCAGGAACACTTTGAGCACCCCGCGGGTCTCCTCGTAGATGAGCCCAGAGATGCGCTTCACCCCGCCTCGGCGGGCAAGCCGGCGGATGGCGGGCTTCGTGATGCCCTGGATGTTGTCCCGGAGGACCTTCCGGTGGCGCTTGGCGCCTCCCTTGCCCAGCCCTTTGCCGCCTTTCCCGCGACCGGACATGCTCGCAGCTCAGAAGCAGCCGAGGTCCGCGGAGGAGAGCGGGCGGCCGGCGTTCGGGCCGGCGCAGCCCGGGGCTTATATTTCCTGGTAGCGGACCTGTTTGAAAACCTCAAGGAAGTGGGCGGGGCTCGAGGCCCCAGGAGACTTTTGTCCCCCTTCCAATGGCGAGCGAGGGAGCCGTAGGCGGGACAAGACTGACCTTTTTTTTTTTTTTTTTTTTTTGCTTTCTTGGAGAAACTTTTTAATTCTTGCCGTAAAATGGAGGGAAAAGTCACTGGAATGTGTATATTGCGTTTTCTCAGCCCTTCAATAAAAACAAGCCAGATCCTATGCGCGCTCGTTTCCTCTCTCCCCTCCCATCGCCTCCCACCCCCATCTCGCGCGCGAATTCTAATTATTTTTCAAAAGGATCGCTTCTTTTCACAATACTATTCCTAGACTAATATGAAAATAAACAGTAAAACCAGAAGTGCGTGGCATCATGTTGGATTTCAAAGCAATTGTTTTACACCTTTTCTTTCATCTGTGGATCTTCAGTCAGTAATGGGAGGGAGAGGAAATTTTTTAATACATCTCTTTTTCTCTTTTTGTGACCCCCGCAGAGCATTAAAATTATTTTAAAAAGTCTAACCTTACCCCTTCCTCCCTCCCCTCTCCCAGACTTTTCCCTTTCAGCGGCTTGTGCGCCATTTGCAGATTATCTGGCCTCCTGTGCGCACCCCCATTCCCCCAAACCCGTGCATATTTGCTTTTCAACCAAGTAACGATCTCTATGGTTATTTAGATGAAATATTGTAAACTTCTTCTCACTGCATTCAAACCCGAGGTTCTCACATCTACTTACAAATTCAAAGTTCTTAAAATAATAGATGCCTCCACGGTAGCTTTGAAGAGTGATTTGTACTGCAAATCACCCATTAGGAGGCTCTCCATCCTTTTTTAAGAGAACCTCTGAACAAAAATGAGACTTTCAGTAATGTCACCGCTCTAGGTTACAGGACTCTCTTCCCAAAAGGGTTTACTGCAATAAAAGGCACCAGTATTTAGAGAATGATTCGTAACTCTTTCTCCGGCACTTAACACCTGAAGGAGGGAATATTACTGAATTCTGCTCCCTGGCAGTAGTCTTGAAAGATAAGCCTTTCCAGAAAAGTTTTATAGTTAATATTTATATGTGTGTAAATGCTTATAATTTACCCATCCTTACCCATCTGCATAACACAGAAAGTACTTCTTTTATTAAAGAGGGGAGCCTGGGTGGCATATTCCATTTAGTGTCTGCCTTTGGCTCCAGTTGTCATCCCACAGTCCTGGGATCCAGTCCCACATCAGACTCCTCTCTCAGCGGGGAGTCTGCTTGTCCCTCTCTGCTCTCTCTCTCTCTCTCTCTCTCTCAAATAAATAAATAGAGTTTTCAAAAAACAAAGATAAAAGAGTCCTCAGAAGGGTGCTTGGGTGGCTGAGTTGGTTCAGCCTCCCACTCTTGATTTCAGTTAGGTCATAATCTCAGGGAAGTGAGATGGAGACCCAACTTTCGCCTTCAGCAGGAAGTCCATCTGTCCCTCTCCAGGCACCCTGCTCCTCCATTCATTTGCCCACCCACATGTGTGCTCTCTAAAAAACTCTAAAAAAAATAATAAAGCCCCAGAATACTGTTTGTATGGCTACGAAGAATCCTAAATAGTCATATTGTACTACATGATTTTCATCTTTGACTCCCAGGGAAGAAGAAAAGTCTATCAGATCTGGAAGAGATCAGAATTCTAATAAGCGTAAATTGATTGATTATATTTATTAAGACTAAAAAGTCATGGTTAGAACATTTTCTCTTTTTTTTAAGATTTTTATTTATTTATTCCTGAGAGACAGAGAGAGAGCGGCAGAGATATAGGCAGAGGGAGAAGCAAGCTCCCTGTGGGAAGCCCCATGCAGGACTCCACCCAGGACCCCAGGATCACCACCTGAGCTAAAGGCTGAAGCTCAACCACTGAGCCACCCAGGTGCCCCTAGAACATTTTCAAGTTAGAAATCCATCTTGTTTACAAAAATAAAAGGAAAAAGTGTCCCAAATAATAGCAAAAATAATTGTTAAAAGTTTTCCTTGATAGCAAAAATTTAAAATTTACAAAGCTCATGTCAGAAACATGTTAATAACTGCATCAGACATTTGTATGTCATTTATTCAGTTTATCTAGCAGTTACTAGATGCTTACTAAAGTATTTAATCTTCAAAATTACATTTTGGGATAGCTACAGAGCTTATCCAAGGTCAGCTGGTAAGTGTGGTAGAGCCTGGATTTGGACCAAGGCAATGTGGCTCCAGGATGACTTAATTATGACAATATGCTGTTTCTCAACTCTAAAGACGTTTGTTGAGTTCCTACTATACATAGGCTAATCATTTTTCTAGGCAGTAAGGCATGTACAAAAATCACTGAAAATGTGATTTCATTGAAATAAAGTATTTATTAGGATGGTGGGAGGGTAAATTTTACTTTTAAACCTGGGCAGCTCAGTGGCTGAGTATCTGCCTTTGGCTTAGGTCGAGATCCTGGGGTCCTGGGATCCAGTACCACGTCTGGCTCCCTGCAGGGACCCTGCTTCTCCCTCTGCCTATGTCTTTGCCTGTCTCTCTGTGTCTCTCTCATGAATAAATAAATGAATCTTAAAAAACAAAACAAAACAAACAAAACAAACAAACAAACAAAAAAAAAAACTTACTTTGTTCCTAATGCTCTGGCTCTGCAATTTAGGTAAGGACGGTTGCTACTGTTCTTCCTTTTGTCTTTTTCATGACCTCTGAGCGCCGCAGGGGCAGTAGAGAGCTGGAAAAAGGGACCACCGAGTGCCACCGCAATGTCTTAGGCGACCTTATTTACCTAGGGGCTCCGAGTCTCCGTGGAGAACATGGTCAACCCCGCAGTGATCAATAAGGAGGAAGCCAAGGCCAAGACTTTGTGTCCCAGAGACTGATCCTGCATCCTCTCCCTGGCATCCAGAGACTTTTCAGGCTCACAACGTCGAACACAAGAGACGTTGAGTTCTGGCTACGCGAGCTTGTTCTGCAGTCTGTGAAGAGAGCACTCGCGTCTAGTGCAGCGCTCTAGTTTCGCAGAAGCGAATACTGGCAACCTGGGAGCGGCAGGGCACGCGGGGAGCCCCGTGTCATTTGGTCTGGTTGAGAAAGTTCAGGTGGCCAGTCCCAGGCATCTTTCGGAGCCCGCTCTCCACACTGCTGGGCAAAAGGAGCATCTGGGTTTGCAGGAGACAGGCGCTGGTTTAGAGAAATGGCAGGCAGAGGGGCACTGTTGCCCCCCCCCCCCCAAGCGCGGTGTCTGGAGTCAGGTTAACTAGCTGCCTAGGATGCTGCTGTACTGTACGGTGCAAGGAAATCCGCCTCGCGGGCAGGGCACCGTGGGGAAGTGGGGCTCAACTTGCAGCCTCAAGTGCTTGAGGCATGGGTGGCTTGAGTGCTTTATACTTGTACGGAGTAGCTCTTCCGGAGTTTGAAGTTGCCTTTTTTTTTTTTAATTTCAAGTTTTATTTATTTATTTATTTATTTATTTATTTATTTATGTATTTATTTATTTATTTATTTGAGTTTGCAGTTTCTTAACCGCGGTTCCTTAATTCTTAAGACGTCCTTTTCCTAGGGGCGAACTTGGACCCTGAAACCTCAGGAGCCAGTGAAGTCAACGGAGGCTCCGAATGCGGGGCGCTGGGGTCCCGGGCATTCATAGGAGAGGCTTTGTAAAGGAGGGCTGGGAGTTTGCTCCTTTGACTGGACAGAGCTGGAGAAGGAGGTGCCTCTGCCCGGAGCGCTGGTTGGGAGCGGAGCCTGCTCGTCATTGGTCCCAGAGCCCCAGATGTCGCTGCGTCCAATGGGGAGGCGCTGCCCAGTGTCAGCAAAGTGGCAGAGGCAGTTCCGGTGGGGTACGTTGCAGTCAGCCACTCGCTCAGACCCGGTGGCGGTGTTTCCCCCCCTCGCAGGAGGTGTAGGCGAGAGGTAACCATGTCTGGTCGCGGAAAGCAGGGCGGCAAAGTGCGGGCAAAGGCCAAGTCCCGGTCCTCCCGCGCGGGCCTGCAGTTCCCGGTGGGCCGAGTGCACAGGCTGCTGCGCAAAGGTAACTACGCGGAGCGAGTGGGCGCCGGGGCGCCCGTGTACCTGGCGGCGGTGCTGGAGTACCTGACGGCCGAGATCCTGGAGCTGGCTGGCAATGCCGCTCGCGACAACAAGAAGACCAGGATCATCCCGCGCCACCTGCAACTCGCCATCCGCAACGACGAGGAGCTCAACAAGCTGCTGGGGAAAGTCACCATCGCGCAGGGCGGCGTCCTGCCCAACATCCAGGCCGTGCTGCTGCCCAAGAAGACGGAGAGTCAAAAGGCGAAGAGCAAGTGACCCTGACGCCGCCACAGGGGAGCTGGCTTCCCCAGCAAGGGCTCTTTTCACGGCCACCCCGCAGTATTCTTTTTTTCCCCCCCCCCAATATACTCGATGTCCTGGAAGGCTGGCGCGGTCTAGTGGGGAGGTGGGTGGCAGGGGGCCCGCAGAGTCCGAGGCCAATAAAGTCGGTGAAAATCGTGTGGTCGAGAGAGCTATGTAGTGTCGGGGACCCTCCGGATGACCCGGGGGGCGACCAGGAGACCTCTGGAGCAGGTACTGGGGGGTTGGTTTCAGCCGCTCGTGGACTACTTGGGTCCGCACCCTCGAGGTGTTTTGTGGGCGGATGAGGGGGACCGCGGGGGGCGCGCGGGCTGGAGGTGGGCAGAGCTGGGATCCCTTCTCGCCTTAAAGCAAAGGAGGGGCAGAGTGGGGTGCGCGTGCGGGGGCGGCAGGGGGATTATCTGTACGTCTCATCCCCAGGGCCTTCACTCTCCTGTCCTGTCTGGGCTGCTCCGGAGGACCCAGTTCCGGAGACGCAGTGGGGGGTTAGCTGGTGTCCAGCAGGAAGTTGGCTCCCTGACCGTACTTTTCAAAAGGTGGAGTAAACTTTCCGTCTTGGAAAAGTAGACAGTGTCAACAGATTTTTTTTTCTCAGCCTGGTAGCTGTTGTGTTTTCATGTTTTGGATAGCAGGTGATTTTAATATACACATTTATGTTCACATTTCTTTAAAATGAAGAGAACCTCCAGTGATATGTGTAATACAGAAGCATGAGTCATGAGTAAATTTGTTCCCCCAACACCCATGTTGCATAACAGTGCAGTGTCTTTAGTCATGAGTTACTTATGCTTAGGAGCTTTTTAAAAACGATTTTCTCATGATGGTCTTGTCCCCATCATACTATACTTCTTTGGAAATGTAATTAGTTTGATTTTGCTTCCTAACAACAAATAACTTGCTTGAATGCTCTTAGGTTCCCCCACTGGCCTGGAGTAATGACCTCATTCCAACAGTCCGATAGGGGTCGCATTGCTTAGTTGTACCGCAGTGCTTTAGTAAACGTGAAATAAGGATAAATGACCGAAATGCCGGCAGTAACACATTTCAGATCAGGAATCCACTTTTAAAAAGTTAAACACTAGCCATCCTGTTCTGTCCTTAACTGATCCTTCCATTTCACCTTTTCCCACAAGTTTCATTAAAGCCCACAGGGCCCACAAGACAGGTTCTCACATCTTTGGAGTCATCCTTCCTATGAGTCAGAGTTAAAGTCTTCCTGAAAAACATTATGGTATTTCTTCATCCTTAGTAATGGGTGGCGCTTTTTCCCACACGGACTTTCTTTATTTCTTCCCCAATATTTATTGAACTTTTAAATATGCCATGTACAATATTAGGTGATGGAGGAGTACAGCTGTGAATAAGGCCAACCAGATTTCCACTCTTTTGGAGCTCACTTCTTTTTCTCGGTACCTGAAGACAGGCAGAACAATGAACAAATAAATAATATCAGAGAAAGGATTCACCTTCAACTTCCATTGACACTTGTGTCTCTCTGCTGTTTGTGCAATGAATGTTGGGATTATTTCTCCCACATGATCATCTTTTTTGAGGTATACAAAGATCAGGCTACACACACTTCTGTTAGGAGTCAGATTATTGCCCCCATATTCTGGAGACAATAGACCCCAAGGGTATCATGGGTAGGTGCCTAGATATCCACAGCTATTTACTCCACTCCTACCTTCCACACAGAAAGCTTCTTCATATGTGAAACAGTCATAACACCAATTTTGAGGACAGATTGTTCATTTATATACACATTAGGCATATATGTATAGATATAGATATCTATATCTATATCTATCTATCTATCTATCTATCTATCTATCTATCATCTATCTATCTATCTAATGGAGATAACCAGTGCTGGTTTTGACATTTAAGTCTTTCTTAATTTCCTATAAGATTTGGGGGACCTGAAAGATTGTTCCCAAAATGGTGACAAAATAAAAACAAGGGCCACCAGACATTTATAAGAAGAAAAAAAAGCAATTTTTCCTTTCCCTCTGAAGATCACAGGAGTCTATCTAACTCTGTCAACCTGAAGAGCAAAACAGGCAAAATATTAAGTACAGTAACAGCGCCCTCCCCATGCCATCTCCACTGCCCTAAGGATTCTGTTTCTTCTCAAATACTTTTCCTGCTGCAAGGCTCAATCAGTCTCTCACCATTTCTGTTGCACCATTTCTGTTTTGGATGGTTTTTAAAACCTGAATAATTTATTGGCAGTTAAAAATGCGTACCTCCTGCAAGATCAATGCAGCCTGCGATCCTTGATGAACAAACAGTTCTTGCCAACATATGATTGTTAATTTAAAAGGACAGTATTGCTTCAAGCACAAGACCACATAGAAGAAGACAGAGCAGAACTGTGTGGGATATGAATTCTGATTTTTTTCTAATGCATTTATAATCCATAGTTGTATTTATAGACACATGTACTCTTTCCTGCCAAGATAGGCCATTCATGTGGCAGGCTGTGACTTGGGCAGGATTTGTGCTTTGCTTTTCCTGTGGGGCCAGTCTTGTCTTTGTGTCTCTGAGAACTGGTCTGTTTAGTTTTGCCTGCCTGGAATCAAAAGGTTTAGTCTGTCACCATAATTTGTGATGACTGGCTTACTATATGCAAGCTTCACAAATGCCCTTGCAATGTCATATACCATGGTGCCTAAGGACTCCAGCTCTCTGGAACAAGACTTAAGTTCACATCCACTCTGCTCCTTATTAGTTAGATGATTTGGGAAATGTTACTCAATTTCTTTAAACCTCAGTTTTATTTATTAAGTGGGCATAATAGTAGAGTTTATATCAGTGGATTTTGCAGAGGATTCATTGAGTTAATGTGAATGAGGGCACTAGAGTTTCCCATGTAGAAACATGCTCAGCAAATAGTAATTATTCTTATTTCCATGTTCAACTGGATTTTGAGTGAGTTGCAATAATTATGGGACCTACTGAAATAGAAAAGCATGGCATTCTAGCAATCCTATGGCTTTTCTGATAGCAAGCCATAAAAAACGTTTAGTGGCTCTTTTACCAATGACAAGACTCCACAACTCAATCTATAACAGGAAAGAGAGTAATAAATAGCTAAAGCTTATTAACCATTCAGGTTAAAACCTTGATTTGCATCCCTCCCTCCAGACAACCTAGTTCAAGATTAATGGCTTAAGTACAGCCACGCAAATTTTAAAATGCAACCTTTTTGTTTAACAATTTATTGAGTATGTATTATGTGTGAAGCCTATTATGATTGCTGACCAGCTGTTCAGAAAAATGACTATAATATAATACAAAGATTATTACAATATAGCAGGCTACATTGTAAAGAAAGGGAGATACCCAGGGCGTTACAGTAACAGGTAATGGAGACACTTGTATTAGCCTTCTGGGAGAATGGCACCTGACATAGGTGTAGGTGTGCCAGTTAGCCTACATTGCTAGACTGTTCTGGGCAGAGAGGCAGCACACACCAAGGCACAGGAGTCAAAGGATGATGGCTGCAGTTGGATGTGAGAGAATCTAGGGGCTAAAGTCTTTTGGGAGTCAAAACTAAAAATAGGCAGTGGATAAAATCATCCAGGGGGAATATACTTGCATAGAACCTATGTATAGATGTGTAAGCAGAGATATCGAAAAAAAAAAAAAAAGCCCAGCTGAACAGGGGACATGGGAGATCTAATGGACTGGCAGAGGAAGGGGAGCCATGGACGTGGAGGGAGGACACGGCTTGAAGACTTCTCACAGCTTGGATCCCTGCACTCCTGGACACCCCCTAATTTGCTTATATTTTGCTGTATAATTAGAAAATGTTCTTTAAAAGTTATTAGCTTCTATCCAGGCAATGCTGACAGGCTGGCTTAACTTACTAATGGTGATGGAATGGATATACATTTTCACCCTTTGCACTTTTACTTTACACATACAGAAACCCGGGCATATACAGTGACAAGAGCATTGTTTTACAAAGCTGAGAACAATGTTGGTAAAGAACCCTTTAAAAATATGTCCTTTATTATCATAACATTTAGTTGAATAGGTTTTTTTTTAACCTGCTTTAATTTTATTTGAATTTTTACTATTAAGTAGGTTTTACTTTTAAAGAAGTTATAGAAACAGTGATGACTTACTAATTCATAAAACGATGTAATTAACTAGGTAATTAATTTACTTTCTTAAGGGAAGGTATATTGCTTATAAGTATCATTTGTAGAAAGTTACAGTAAGTTTTACTGAGGCATAATTGACATAACATTTTCAGGTGTATAACGATGATTTGATATTTGTGTATAAGTCTAGTTAATATCTGTCACCATTCATAATTACAATTGTTTTTCTTGTGATAAGAACTTTTGAGATTTATTCTTGTAGCAACTTTCAAATATGCAATAGTGTTGTTAACTATAGTTACCATGCTGTACATTACGTCTCCATGACTTAATTATTTTATAGCTAGAAGTTTGTACCTTTGACTCTCTTTACCCATTTTGCCCAGCCCTCCCAATACACTCCCCCACCCTCAGCTCTGGCAACCACCAATTTGTGGTCTGTATTTATGAACCTGGTGTGTATTTTTTTTTAAGTTCCATATATACATGAGATCATACAGTATTTGTCTTTCTCTGTCTGGCATATTTCACTTAGCATAATACCCTCTAGGTCCATCCATGTTGTCAAAATGGCAAGATTTCATTATGACTGAATAATGTGTGTGTGTGTGTGTGTGTGTGTGTACCACGTTTTCTTTATTCTTTCATCTATTGATGGACACTTATGTGTTTTTCATATCTCAGCTATTGGAAATAATACTGCAATGAACATAGGGGTGCACATATCTTTTCCAGTTAGTGTAGTGTAGATATTTTCAAATGTTTAAAACAAGAGAAATTTGACCTGGACAAATAGAAATTTTTTTAAATTAGCTAATGTTTGTTTCCCAAGGGAGGGAAATGGAGTTAAGAGGAACAAAAACAAAACAAAACAGAACAACAACAACAACAAACACAAAGAAAAGAAAAGAAGAGAAGAAAAGCCAACTGGCTTTCTGCAAATACAAAATAACCGCTGTAAAGCTTTACTTTGTTTTCTCTAGAAGGAGAGGGAAAAAAGTTTAGGTGTTGAAAAGTAGATTTTAA